ATGCCTTTTTTTTTTTTTAATGCTTATTTATCTTGAGAAAGAGAGCGAGAGAGCAGGGAAGGGTCAAACAGAGAGGAAGAGAGAGAATCCCAAGCATGCTCTGTGCTGTCAGCGCAGAGCCAGACAAAGGGCTCAGTCCCACGAACTGTGAGCTGAAACCAAGAGTCAGCCGCTTAACCCACTGAGCCACCCAGGTGCCCCAATGCTGTTTTTTTAATGTTATTGCTATTTTATATTGCGATTTATTATTTTACAAAATGCCTAATTTTTAAATGGCTACATGAATTAATGGCTATTAATAAACACCAATGGTTTAAAAAGACTAAATCTTTTTAAGGGAGGATTTGGGGGGGTGTGGAGGATAAATCATGAAAGGGGTACCCAGAATTTAAAAGGCTGAGAAACACCGGACAAAGATATAGCTATAGCTATAGCTGGAAAGAAGCACTCATGAAGCACTCATGTCTGTTACACATCTTCCTAGAACCAAGCTCTGCCTGGCACAGGGGACACAGGAACCAATAAGGCATAGATTCTAACGTCCCCAACAGACTAGTTAGACAGACAAATGATTAACTGGCGGAATAACGCTGGGCTGGATGTAAACAAGCCTCCCCACAACCATGCCCTTTCTTTCCTGCGCAGGGGCTGCCGGCACAGCACTTTTCCACATGAAAGTCGCGATCCCATGGCACTTTGCTTGCCAGTGTGCTTCTGCCACAAGACGCTAAGCTCTATGGGGGCAGGAACTGAGTTGGGTTCAGTTTTGTACCCACCGGGGCTCAGTACAGTATCTGAACACAGTAGGTGCTCAATGAGTGCTTGTGGAATGGATAAATTAATGAATACATAAGTGAATAAAGTGTTAGAAGGTAAGACCAGGAAATGAGAGCAGACTGACAACTCCCGTAGGCAAGCCTGGCTGTGGTCTATAAACACTGAGCCCAGGACTGTTACCCTACGCTGGCTCTCACAAAATCTAAGCGGTGTGTTGCATTGAGGACCGGACCCCATAAAGAGAGGATCACTTGCTGGTTAAGTAAATGGGAAGGGCACTTACCTCCGTTCCTCCTGACTTGAAGGAAGACAGGCCTCCTGCACAAGGCTGGTTTCTGCATCTCTTTCTAGATCTTACCCCTTTCGTTAATTTTCTGCCCCCTGTTTTCTCTACCTTTAGCGGGAGCCTCTTCTCCAAGTTTTCCTCCTCAGTGCCAAAACAATAGCTCAAATCTCCTCAAAGTTAAAATAATGCAAGTGAGACTCCTCTATAGCAACTGCCCCTTCCCGCCTCCCAAAGCCAAGCATCTCATCTACACTAAGAAGCTGTGCTTCCATCCAGGCCCGTAGGGGGCGCCATTCACATTGTGCTAGGCAAGGACCACAGGTCTGGGAGCACAACTCTACAGAACAGTGCGAAAGAAGCCCCAGGAGTTGAGGTCCACTCACTCCTCAATCCGCTGCTCTCTGGTTCCCAGCATGGCACTGAGACTGTTCTGAGTATGGTCAGAAATGACACTATATTGCCAAGCCAGATGGGCATTCTGAGTTGTGATCTTACTTGCCTTCTCTGCAGACGGTTAGCACAGTTGTCTCTTCCCTCGTTCTCCACCCTTGGCTTCCACGGTTCCACTCCCTCTAGTTTTCCTTCTCTCTCTCTTTCTCTGCCTGCTCCTCTGTCCCCTCTACCTGTCCCTCCACCTGTCCCTTGCTGCTTGGTTCTGTTTATCTTCTCCTTCCTTCCACTCTTTTCTCGGTGATCCCATTCAGGTCTTGGCCTTTCACTGCCTCTTCAGCACCAAGAACTCACAGCCCTGCATTGTCTGCTGAGCTCCAGCCCACCTGCTTCATCTGCCAGCTCTTGTCCCCATCTCCCAAATCCAAACTGTCAGCCAACTCCTACTGATCTGACTTCTTAACTACTTTCTGAATCTACTTTCTTACTATCCCTACTGTGACTGCCTGAGTTCAGACCCTCTCCTGGACTCCTTGCGTGCATTCTGCCCTCCCCATACCTATCCCATCCAGCTGCCAGTGTGACTTTTCAGTAGAACGAGGTTCCTGCACCCTTCATCTCTTTAATACTTCCTCATCCTCACCCCCAGAGAGGAAATCTTTCGTCTGCACTAAATCAAAATACCATATTTCATCCAATATAAAACACTCTGATGCTGGCACTTTTTTGATTTTACAAGAAAATGTCAAAGGAAACTCCTCATATAACGCGGCTAACATCACTTGTAAATGCACAGAGCAGGGAGAAGGGAGGGAGAAGGAAGTAAGAAAGAAAGGAAGAAAGAAGGGAAGGAAGAGGGCAAGAGACAAGAATGTGTACTTCCAAAGAGCCCATCTAAGGTAATTCTCTGTGGACAAATGGGACCCACAGTTGGGACACCATCCTCTGGATTCTGAATATACCCATGATTGGCTCCAAGCAAGACTGGTTCTTTCTGGTGATGGGCCGGGTCCTTCTAGATACAGTGGGTCATAAAGGCAGTTCTACAAACGTAAATTCAATCTCATTGTTAAACTCTTCAGAACACTTCAATGCCCCTATCTCACATGATCTATAGGAGAAAATTCAAAATGTGAAAGAGCATTATGAGGTCAGGACTTGGAGAATGTTGAAAATATCCCAAGACCCTGGCATACTTCCCCACTTCTCCTCTCCAGACAGCTTATAAATAGCAGCTACTATTGCGGTAGGTGCAAGGAGGTGAGTGAGATGCTGCCATGTTGATTGTGTCTGGCCCGGCCTGCCCAAGAGGCCAGCACCCCATCATTCCCCAATAAATCAGGAGGTCATTTTTCACTGAACTGAAACTCAATACTCCCATCGTTTTCTCCCCTAACCAGCCCCGAGATTGCTCTGTGCTCTTTATTACCTTTCAATGACTTAAGCCCCTGAACTGAATAACTTCATCAAGGTGTCAACCTAAACAGATTTTCCCCATAATGGCCCAACTCTCACAGGTTCTTAATGAAAAATATTGATTCCCAAGGATTAGTTGCAGATTTATGTGTTGGGATGCTGATCTCTCTGTCACCTAGCACCGTATCAGTGGATGAAAGGACCTAGTTCCCCTTCATGGTTTTAAAAAAGCAATCACTGGCTATGTCAAGGGGCAGCTTAGGTCCAGAAAAACAAATAAAATTCTGTGTCTGGATCACATGGAATACTTAACAGATGGGGGGCAGGGGCACTGAGACACCTGTCTTTCCTCATTAGTATCTTCACTGGTTGGGCTCTTGGGAGACTGGGCACAGGGAAGCGACAAGCAGCCCTCCTGGTATGACTGATCCTGGGGACACAGTCTGGAGAAAAGCACACTGTGTACACCCTGTCTGGGGCTGGAGACACCAACTGGAAGGAATTCAGCAGCTGCTGTCTCCAAGTGGCATTCAATCAACACCAGCCTAAGGTTGCCTCTGCCAACTCGCTGTGTTAAATGTGGCTCTCGGGGGATGAAATTGAGGCTCTGGCACCTGAAACCTCAACAAGCTGCACAGCAGGATTTCTCCTGTCACCCAGAGGTGGCTGGAATGGAACATGATTCATTCTCTACTTGGTAAATACCTAGTGAGGGTCTATTATGTGCAAAGGACTGTGCTAGGCACCAAGGACCCCATAGTCAGCCACAGCAGATAAGGGGTCCCACTCTCACGGAAAAGGCAGACCAAAAAGAAACGATCACAAATAAACACAGAACTGCAGCTGTGACAAGATGATGGGGATGTGGACAGAAGACTCTAAGAAGTGAGAAGGTCAAGAGAGATCTCTTTGAGAAAGTACTGGTCAAGGTAACACCAGAGGATAAGGAGTCCATTGAAAAAGCAAGGAGGGTAGGGAACATTCAGGTATATTCAGGTAGAGGAAGTATCAAGTGCAAAAGCCCTGTTTTGGAGGGAGCCCAACACCAGCTGTGTGGCCAGAGTGCAGAGAGTGGGGAGCATGGCCTGAGAGGGCTCTGGACAGGCCGGCAGGGGCCAGACTGTGGATTTGAGCCCCAATTCTAAGAACAACAGGAAGCCACTAAAGGGTTTTAAGCAGGAGGGTGAGCCAACCTGACCAGATCTACACTTAGCAAAGACCCTCTTTGGCTTCTCTGTGAAGAATGGATGGAAGCAGGAGAGAGACTCGGGGGGTTGGGGGGGGACAGTGGTGGTCTGGGTGGAAGATGAAGCCAGGATGCTGCCAGAGAGGGAGAGACATGGACAGAATCCAGGAATACTTTGGAGCAAAAACCAACAGGCACTGGTACTGAACTAATGTGAGGTGGGGGTAGGCTGAGGCAAAGGAGGGGACAAGGATGACTCTCAGACTTCTTGTCCGAACTGCTCCTTCTCTGAAGTCATAGCCTCCTCACTTGGGGCCATCAAGGCTTCTCTAATCCTGGGAAGCTCCTACAGCAGGCCTCACAAAGGTCTTCCGCAAAGGGACAGATAGAAAGCGTGTCAGTATCTGAAAGTCTCTGTTACCCAGCTCTGCTGTTTCGAAGGAAAAGCAGCCACAGACCACAGGTAAACAAATGGGTGTGGCTGTGTTCCAGTTAAAACTTTATTTACAAAACAAGTGGCCAACAGGATTGGCCCTTCTGGCTAGAACCTGGAGGAATGTGAAAACTGGCCTCAACTCCTAAGTTCCCCAGTCCCAATGAGCTAGAGGATTCCACTGAGCCTCCTGGGGTGGAGAAGGGCGGAGTCCAACACCTTCCAGAAAGGAAACCCAGGACAAGTCCTTCCTATACATCTTCACCTGTACTTGTAACAGAATCTTACAGAAACACCAGAAGGGCACCCAAGAAACTAATAAGTGCTTATCTGTACGCCTGGGAGAGGGAGGAGACTTTCAGGTGTACACCTTTTGTATCATTTTGATTTTTCAACCAGCGGAAGATACCACTCAAGCATTATCTACTCAAAAAACTAGTAAATAAATTTCTTCATAAAACACACTCTGTTTCTATATGGGCAGAAATGTCTCCAGTTGTCCACCATTAGATTTTAACTATTGAAAAAGACCTACATTTATCCCTAGAGTCACAAGCTAAAATTAGGCAGGGGGCAGGTTTTCAAGCGGTACTGCACTTGAACTGCTGAGTTGGCTGTGAAAAATGAGCAAGAGCACCCTTTTCTGGTTTGGTTCTCAGGTCTGCTCTCTCAGTTAGGAGAAGTCTGCTTGCATCCTCTCTTATGTTTTTAACAACTCTCCATCTTCAGGTAACAGCACCCACTTTTACTTGAGGAACCCCCTCCCGCATCGGCGACCGTTTGGTGGCTCTGTCAGTCAAGAGGGTCTGCCCGCCCAGATGCTGGTCATGTGACCCAGGCTAGGCCAATCAGATTCCCTCTCCCCGGACCGAGCCCAAAGGGGATCCTGCAGAGAAGAAAAAATTGTAAAAGTGCCTTGAAGGGTTTTGTCAGTTCCTGTTGCCTAGATCTTTGGAGCAGCTCTTTCTCTAAAGGTATGAGTATTGACATTTGTTTCAATTTTAATTGTTTTGTTTTGTTTTTCATTTGCCTAAATTGGCCAGTATCCATTTTTGTGAATTCATACTGATGAAGTGATCCTGCTTAAACAATTCAATGTTTCCCTGTGGCTTACAACCCAAAGAGCAGACAGGAGGTACAAATCTCAACAAACTCCGGCTCAGGACACCACCAGCCACCAAGCACCCTGTGCTTCAGCCCACCAGAATTTCTGCTCCTTCTCCAAATCTATTCCCAACTTGTCACCTAAAAAATTCCCTGATACTGGTCATCTGAGGCAGCAGATTGGGCAGATCAGAGTGCCAGTCCCGGTGCCAGTCTAGTGGCCAGTGAATGCTTTTTGAAAAGCCCTGTGCTCCAAATAGAAGTTTGGTCAGGCTCTTTTCCTTGAGCAACAGCAGAATCCACCACAAGTCTAGGACCCCCTGAGCCCATCTCAGAGATCTGAGATGATAGGGTTGTGGTTATGACAGCTCTGAATTCAAGTGTTTCTGCCATCTGACTGTGGGCAAGGTGCTTACTCCTTCTGGGTCTCAGGCTTCTGGTCTGTAAAAGGAGGAGATGAATTCTGCCCTCATCCTAGAAAGGGCTTATTTATATATTTAACAAACACCCAGCTTTATATATATTAATTCAGGTGATACTTATAACAACACCATAAGGCAGAGACTATTATCATCTTCATTTTGCAGATGAGGACACTGAGGCACAGAGAGGTTAACTTAATTGTCCAAGGTTACAAAGCTGGTATGGGGATGAAATGAAAGACTACATGGAAGTTATTTAGCACAGGGCTCAGGAGATAATACATATTTCATAAAATGCTAGTTATATGGGCTGAATTGTGTCATCCCCCACCCCGCCCAAGTTCATGTGTTGGAAGCCTAAACCCTCAGTGTGACTGTATTTGGAGATAAGGCCTTTAAAGGGGTAACTAAGATTAAATGAAGTCACAAGGGTGGGGCCATAATGCAGTATGACTGGTGTTCTTCGAAGAAGGAGACACCAGCGATGCCCTCACACAGAGATAAAGGCCATGTGAGGACACAGCAACAAGACAACCATCTCTAAGTCAAGGAGAGAGACCTCAGGAGAAACCAAACCTGCCAATACTTGATCTTGGGCTTCCAGACCCCAGAAGTGTGAGAGGTAAATTTCTGTTGTGTGGCCACCCAGCCTGTGGTGTTTTGTGACACGGCCCTGGTGCACTAATACACCGCTGGAGAAGACCCCATCTTGTGCTGGAAATCTCAACTGGTTTTTAAATGCTCGTCTGACAAGTGTTACACCAGGACACATTCTCCTTCAGGGACTCCATGCCTCATTCAGGATAAAGTCAGACATCCTTGGCAAGATCTACAGGGCCCTCCAAAATACCTCTCCAAGTTCATCTTCTGTCACCCATCCAGTTCCACCTTCAATTCAACCATAACAAATTTCACACTTCTCAAAACATGCCAGGGCTTTCTATGGACCATTTCCACCTCTCATCTACTCCTCCTCCTCATGCTTCCTAGATGCATCCTGCAAGACCCAGCCTTAGTATTTCTTCTGTAGCTTTCATGGAACTTCCCGGGCAGAGTTGGATACTTCCTTCTCTGTGCCACTACCATACCTGGCACATAGAGCTGTTGTATTATACTGCTATCACCTGACCTCATGTCTCTCCACCACCACCGCCATCATCATCACCATCTCTAACATCTATTGATGTGCTATGCACTAGGTACTGTGCTTAGTGGTTGACATGCATGATCTTCCTTTATTCCTCACAATAACTCTGTGAATTGGGCTTGTCGGCATACTTTAGTTGCAAGAAACAAAGTGACTGTAGGTGATTTAAGCCACTGGGAAATTACTGTATGGAAATGGGAGACTGTGTCGTCTATAGTAGCCTCTAGACTATAGCCAAGCCTGGGAGCAGACAAGAACCAAGGCACTTCCAGAAGCAAAAAAAAAAAAAAAAAAAAAAGAAGAAGAAGAAGAAGCACCAGGCGCCTGGCTGGCTCAGTTGGAAGAGTATGCAACACTTGATCTGGGAGTGGATCTCAAGCCCCATACTGGGTGTAGAGATTACTAAAAATGAATGAATGAATGAATGAAGAAGGAAAGAAAGAAAGGAAGGAAGGAAGGAAGGAAGGAAGGAAGGAAGGAAGGAAGGAAGGAAGGACAACAAAGATAGAATAGTCCGATATTTAAAAGCATGGATTCTGGGGCACCTGGGTGGCTCAGTTGGTTAAGCATCCAATCTCACAGTTCATGAGTTCGAGCCCCACGTGGGCTCTGTGCTGACAGCTCAGAGCCTGGAGCCTGCTTCAGATTCTGTGTCTTCATCTCTCTCTCTCTCTCTGTCTCTCTCAAAAATAAACATTTTTTTAAAAATTAAAGCATGGGTTCTAGAACCAGGCTCCCTGGGTTCAAATCCTGTTCTTGATACTTACTAGCTTTAAGATGCACAAATTACTTGGGCTATGCATGCCTTGGCTTTCCCATCTGTAAAATGGGGATAATAAGAGCATGTCTGATGGTTTTACTGTATTAAATAAGTGTATATAATTAAAGTATTTACTACAGTGCTGAGCACTTAGTAAGTGGTCTGTGGGTGTTAGCTGTTGTAATTGAGACTAGAATGAGTTTGATTAGGAAACCACCTTTGTCATTAAATCAAATTTCTTCCATTATCTGTCCCCTGATCTGCCCAGGATTCAAATCCTAGGTAGAAAGCATCAGAATACACCAGCTTCATTCCTGTGCCCACTCCACATCTAGGAGAGGATGGGGTCTCCAATTACTATCCCATGAGCATGCATCAAGGGGGAGAAAAGTGATTCTTCAAAAGTAAAGTAAGAGAATCTAGAATTTAACTCACACATAAATAGTCAAATGATTTTCAACAGGAGGCCAAGGCAGTTCAATGAGAAAAGGGTAATCTCCCAACAAATGGTGTGAAAACAATCGGCTATCCTTATGTTAAAAAATGAATTTAGACCCTTATCTCACACCACATGCAAAAAAATTAACTGGAAGTGGACCATAATCCAAATGTAAGAACTAAAACTTCTAGAAGAAAACATAACAAAAAACTTTTGTGACCTTGGTCTAAGCAAACATTTCTTAGTATTGACATTAAAAGAACACTCCAGGGGCGCCTGGGTGGCGCAGTCGGTTAAGCGTCCGACTTCAGCCAGGTCACGATCTCGCGGTCCGTGAGTTCGAGCCCCGCGTCAGGCTCTGGGCTGATGGCTCAGAGCCTGGAGCCTGTTTCCGATTCTGTGTCTCCCTCTCTCTCTGCCCCTTCCCCGTTCATGCTCTGTCTCTCTCTGTCCCAAAAATAAATAAACGTTGAAAAAAAAAAATTTAAAAGAACAATCCATAAAAGAAAAGGTTAACAAATTGGACTTCATCAAAATTTAAAACTTTCGGGTTTTTTATTGTTTTAGAGAGAGGGGGTGTGCGAGTGGGGGAGGGAAGGCAGAGACAAAGAGAGAGAGAATCCCAAGCAGACTCCATGCTCAGCATGGAACCTGATATGGGGCTCGATCCCACAATCCTGGGACCATGACCTGAGTCAAAATCAAGAGTCAGACACTCAAGCGACTGAGCCAACCAGGCACCCCTAAAACTTCTGCTCTTTATAAGATAGCACTAAGTTGGGGTGCCTGGTGGCTCAATCAGTTGAGCATCTGACTCTTGATTCCAGCTCAGGCCATGATCTCACGGTTTGTTAGATGGAGCCTGGCATCAGGCTCTGCACTCACAGCGTGGAGCCTGCGTGTGGTCCTCTTGCTCGCTTGCTCTCTGCTCCCACCCCACTTGCTCTGTCTCTCTGAAGATAAATAAATAAACTTAAAATATATATATATAGCACGAAGTAAAATGAAAAAGACAAGCCACAGACTGAAAGAAAACATTTGCCAAACACATACCTGATAAAGGACCTGTATCCAAAATAACGAATGGTTACAACTGCATAATATGCAGACAAACAACCTAATTTTTTTAATGGGCAAAAGATGTGAATGAACACTTCTCCAAAGAAGATATATGAATGGGTATTAAGTGTATGACAAGGTGCACACACCGTTGGCCGTCACAGAAATGCAAATGAAGACCTCAGTGAGATGCCACAACATACTTAGAGGGGCTAAATAAAAACGATGGACAAATCAAATGTTTGTGAGGATGGAGAGTAAATGCATATTGATGGTAACTCATACTGATGGTGAGAATATAAAATGGTATGGCCATTTTGGAAAATGATTTGGCAGTTTCTTAAAAAATTACTTTAGCATACAACCCAGCAATTTCTCTCCTAGATACCTAGTTAAGAGAAATAAAAGTATGTGTCCACACAAAGACGTCTATGCAAGTGTAACAGCCCAAAACTGGACAACCCGAGTATCCGTCAACTGGTAAATGCGTAAAATAGGCATTAAAAGGGAACAAACTGGATGCGTGCAACAACAGGGACAGATCTCAGGAACATATGCTAAGTGAAAGAAGCCGGCCATAGAAGACTGCGTGTTATGTGATTCGGGTGACAGGAGATTTCAAGAAAAGAGTGTAGAGATGGAAACACATTGGTGGTCGCCTACAGCTGGAGGTGGGGGAAGGCATCAACCACAAATGGGAATGAGGAAACTCTGGGGAGTGATGGAAGTATTCTAAAACTGGGTTGAGGAGGTAATTGCACAATTATATAAATTAAAACTAAAACTCATTGAACTGTACATTTAAAATGGGTGAATTTCAATGCATATAAATTGTGCCTCAGTAAAGCTTTTAAAAATAAGCAATAAACGATGAAAGAAAAGAAAGAAGGAACAGAAAACCAATGCTGTTAGCTGGGTTTAGAGAGAAAAACACAAACACGTATTGTCCCATTTTATGCATTAGGACAGTGAGAAATAATGATGTGCCTGATGTCACACAGCTAGTAAGTGACAAAACCCAGATGCGAACCTCAACTCTTTGACCCCAAACCCATGCTGCTGACCCCTCCGCTAAGCGAACTTTCTTCCCTGTTGTGCGAACTGCCTCCAGCCCACACCGTTGTGTACGGGGCTAGCATGAGGGACTCTGCTCACATCGCTACGTGACCAGAATGCTCATCTGGATGACATGTAAGCAAGAGATACTCGGAGGCCTGCTGTCCTCGGACGGTTCAGTTAAGTTGTGGTTGTTACTCTTCTTTGAGCTCGGTGTGCTCAGCTTCATTTGGTGCTTTTTGTATATTGCTCATCTGGCAGAGAATTACTACTCTACTCTACAAGTTCCCACAGATGGCTTTATTTGCCATTGCTATTAAATTGGTTTTGAACAAGACATAATTCTTCAAGTGCCTAGTGAGCTCTCTGGGTTTGCTCAGGCAAGATTCCATAAAAATGTAAATAATCGGAACACTTCTGGGATTATTTATCACAACTGACTTGCGGCTGTAAATTTATGTATTAATTTCAGCTATAAGTTTCAGTGGGGAAAATATGAACAGTTGAAAATAGACTCTCCCACCTAACATCTTCTCTATGTCCCCATTTCCCTTTGGCTTCCAGAGAACATACTATAGAATGGCCAACAGATCTGGGTGTGAAAGACACTGGACAAGATCAGAAAGAAATGAGGTGGCAAGCAGGAAAAAAAAATCATTCCTCAACAAGCCATAGGCTGGTCTCTTACCACTCCCCCTACTCTTGGAACTCCAGACACACCAGCCTTCTTTCAGTTCCTCTGGTGATTCCTGCCTCAGGACCCTTGCACATGCTCCCTTGGCTTACAACGTTCTTTCCTCCCTTTTTAGCCAGGTTCAGCTATACTCATCCTTCAGCTCTTGGCTCGGCATCACTTCTTATGAAAAGCTTTCCATGCCCACCTGTCCACCACATCAGGTCTGCTCTGGTGGTAGCTCGTCCTTCTCATCCACAACACTGAACACAATTGTAATTTCTCATTTTTGTAGGCATTTTGTAGGCATTTTTAAACATTAAGTCTGTCTTTCCTACTCAGCTTTGAACTTCATGAGGGCTAGGCCCATGTCCTTTGTCACCTGCATCCCCAGAGCCTGGCATAGATTTGAAGATGAATGAGTATGTGTTTAGTGAATTGATGAGTCCAGTTAAGAGTAGGAGAACATAGCTGGGCTTCCGGGGCTCTGCACATACACTCAGATCTGTCACTGCTGTTGGCACACAAGCACAGGTGTGCACAAGTGTGCAGCTCAGCCAGCACCCATATGTCCTGTCAGAGGACTGCTCTCACTTTGCCTGAGTATGCCAACAGCACGAAGTATCTAGGAATTCCCATTCCCTTTAGAGAAATCCCTTTAGCCCTTAACCAATTAGTGACAGGTACAGGTGTATAAACTCACCAGCTCTTGTCTTTGTGAGGCGTGACCTGTATACCCACTGGAGCTCCCCTGTGGGACTGAGCCATGCGGACCTTCCATGGGACCTTGCTTGATGGTATCACACTCTTCTTGCCTCTTCCAGTCCCCACCCCATGTCTCTACTTCTCTACCCGCGTCCCCTGAGAAGTCCTAATAAATGACTCTACACAATCTGCATCACAGGGGCTGCTTCTGGGGAGCACAGCCTAAAACAGAGAGCCTGCTGCTGGAAAAGTTTCTCGCTGAGCTGTGATTAATACCATAAATTTTGGTGCATGAAAGCACTCCAGCCAGACCATTTGCTGGTTCAGACGAGGATAGGTCCTGCCAGTAACTCTCTAAGCTGGCAAGAGCGCCCTGTCTAAAGAGAGAGCACTAAACCCCCCCACTTTCCAATCTTCGCCCCATGACCCAGTGCCCTGCAAAAGGAGTCAAGAGGCTGTGCCTCTGGCATCCCAACCAAACTGGACATGGAAGTCTGCTGGCAAGACTGTCTTGAGGGTAAGCCAACATCATCTCTACCTGCTCCTTCTCCCGGATTTTAGCTCAGGCCAGGCCAGGGCAGGACCAAGCCTGGGGGTGGGAAGAAGGGGGCCCATCTGGATAGAGATCTTGCAGGGAGGAGACGCAGGCTGTTAAGGTCTATAGAGTAAGGACACCTTCAGCTTCAGGGAAGAGAGTGTACAACCCAAAGAGGTTTAATAATGGGGCCTATTCATTGAGGAATTTCCAATAAGGGAAAGTCACATGGTGTTACGAGAGGAAGGATCAGGGGAAGCCTATGTAGATGGGATTGGTAGAAAGGCCTCTCTGAGGACGTCCATCAGATTCAGGACTAGAGAGCCAGCTACATGGGGAAGAACACTGCTGTTGGCAGAATACCACTGCCCACCAAAGATGTCCATGTTCTGATCCCTGGAGTCTATGACTGTTACCTTATGTTGGCAGAAGGCGCCTTACAGACAAGACCGAGTTCAGAATTGTAAGGTGGGGAGATTATCCTGGATTATTCCACGGGGTCCACCCTGACCAGAAGGGTCCTCATGAGGGAAAAGTGGAGGCAAGAGAATCAAAGGTGTGCCAAGGAAATCAGAGGTCTGACGTGGCCAGGAGCCAAGGAATCCAGACAGCCTCTACTTCTGGCAGAAGCAAAGAAATGGATTCTCTCCTTAGAGCCTCCGAAGTAACACACCTTGATTTTAATCCCCTGAGACCTGTCTAGGACTTGTGAGCTCCAAAACTTTTAGATAAGAAATGTGTGTTATTTTAGGTCACTAAGTCTGGTCATTTGTTACAGAAGGCAGAGGAAATGAATACAAGCATTGTCACAGAGGAAACAGTTGTATACAGTTCCAACGTGGGGGCCTTGTAGCATTAGTGAGAAGTATGAGGCCATCAGTGTGGCTGGTACCTAGTGGGCCAACCCCTATGCCAAGGTGACAGGCAAACAGGGGCCAGATCATGTGAGGCCTTAGAAACCATGGTAAGAAGTTTGGATTTTCTTCTAAAATTGGTGGGAAGCCATTAAAATGTTTTATTGTAATCTAATTTGCATTTTCCCAAGCTCGCTGTGGCTGCTGCATGGAGAAATGGATGCAGGGCTGCACAAGGACCAATGAGAGGAGAGGCACAGAGACAGGAACCCAGTCCGGCCACCACGAGTGACACAATGATGGTCCCCATCAGGGCAGTGGGGATGCAGATAGGAGAAGGCTGCAAGACAGAGCTCAGACACTGATGTATTGGCTCTGAAACAAATCAGATAAAATAATTTGGACATCTTAATGCCAGAGGCCCTTCCATCAAATAACAGCCAGCTTTTCAGAGACCACACGTTGGCTCCTGACAGTGACAAAATTGGCGTCGCCACAGAAGTCCCAGAGCAGGGACTTGGGTATGTTCCAGTAGAGCAGAGAGGAGAAGGAAAATGTATGTTCCTTCCCAAATGTCCAGCAACAAATGACTGCCGAGTGAGAAAGAAATTTAGCCAAAGTGCAGAAGGATGGTCTGGCCACACTGCGGACCCTTGAGAAGTGAGATGTTATTTATGGAGACAGTGACTTATTCTCCTAAACAACCATAATGTCCTCACCTGTCTGATTTCCGTGAAAACCTCTAGTTCAACTTCCAATTTGAAGTTACAAAAATGAGCATGGGTCCTTCAGGAATTCAGATTTGATGTGAAGTATATCCAAAGACCTGCCAACAGATGTTACAGCATCTTGGAAATGTTCAAGACTCGTGCTTGCTGACAGAAGCGTTAAGTAGAATCACTGTTCTGATTTTTTTTAAGCTAGGATGGGGGATTGTGCTTGTCCTGGGGTGACCTTCAGGAGTCTCCTCTGTTCCTCACAAGAAACAACAATCACAGTGATGATGCTAAAAACAGAACACAACAAAGCTCCCACTTCACTTACATGTACAATAATCCTATAGACTTATGACCCCCATTGTTAGATATGAAGAAAGTGAATCTCAAGAAGTAAAAGAATTTACCAGTGTCATACAAGGAAGCAGCAGAGATGGGTCTAATACAAAATCAAAATCTGAACTGTGGATCTGCAAACAATGGCCTGAGGGCAAAACCCCAGCTACCACTTGTTTTTGTAAATAAAGTTTTATTGGAACATACTCACGCCCATTTGTTCACCTACTGCCTATGACTGCTTTCACAACCAAGGACAGAGCTGAGTGGTTGCAACGGAGACCATATGGCCCACAGAGCCTAAAAGATTTACTATCCGGCCCTTTACAGAAAAAGTCTGCCAATTCCTGTTCTAGATCATACATCACACTGGAGTGTTACTTCCTAATGCATTCTCCTACTCCTTCATGCCACTTCCACAAGTCAGAGCCTATTCCAGAGCACTGAATAAGACACCCAGATGCCTCCTACTCTCATACTTAACCTGGCAAGACCCTGGGCAACCTTCCTCTTTGCATGCTCTGTACTGAGAGGAGGGTGGGGTGAAGGCTAAATTACCACAAGCAGGATCCTGGTGCCTTGTGCCTCCAAGACCAGTTCTACACCTGAGAGAGTGAGCCAGAGTACTCACTGGGGGATGACCTGCTCCAGGAATGGTTTTTTGAAAGGCATGAATGTTATTTATGAGACAGTTTACTTTTCTAGCCAACCATAAAGCCCTGACCTGTAGGAGTTCTTTGAAACACCCCAAGCATTATCTGTTACATGAAGCCTTTCCATTGGGGGTTGGGAGGGCCATCGTAGATCATCTAAGCAGCCAGGGGGAGGGGGAATGAGGATGGAATGGCGAGGGTGCTTCCGACCATCCTGTAGCCCTGCCCTGAAGCCAGCAGGAATAGATGCAAAAGGGAAGATGGGTCAGGGCCTGGCCCTGTTGTTTCTCTCACTGGCCGACAGCTAGACCCACAGCCCAGCCCAGCCTTACCTGCCCTACCTGGTTCCTTTACTCCAGCCTCCAATCCTCTTTGATTTTTAAAAGATTATCTTGACTTCATTTGTCTTCCACTTACCACCTGTGCTGACTGTTAAGTAGCTCTTCCACTTAAGCGGTTCTGAATTGTTGAGTCATACCATTCTGTTTTAGTCATTAGAGCTTTGTAATATGTTGTTATATCTGGTGTTTCAAGTCCCTTCCCATGCTGTCCTCACTGGACCACAGAATTACTTTTTTAAGGTAGTAAACAGTGTAAATTCCATGTGTTAATCTGTAAGCTAATTTTGGAAGAATTTAAATCCCTAAACTCTTTAGGCTCCTATTCAGGTGACTGATACATTTCTTTATCTAAGCCATCAGCATTGCTCTGTAAATTTTTATAGTCTTCTTCATGCACATTTCCTCTTACAGCCTGGTTATTTTATTTTTTGTTGATACTGTGAATAAGACTTTAATAATAGTCTTCTTATTGGCTATTGATTTTTAAATGTTTGCCTAAGATCCAACCATGTTCTTTAATTTTTTTTTTATGTTTATTTTTGAGAGAGAGAGAGAGAGAGAGAGAGAGAGAGAGAGAGAGACAGAGTGCAAGCAGGGGAGGGGCAGAGAAAGAGGGAGACACAGAGCCTGAAGCAGGTTCCAGGCTCTGAGCTTTCAGCACAGAGCCTGACACAGGCTCGAATTCATGGACCATGAGATCATGATCTGAGCCAAAGTTGGAAGCTTAACTGACTGAGCCACCCAGGTGCCCCTTATATGGCGCATTTTTTTAACCTCATGCTGCCATGTAATATACTAATAGATTCCTTGTTATCAAATAGTCCTGGATCAACATTCAGAATATAAAAAGAAATCTTACAAATCAATAAGGAGGATTTTTTTAAATCTAGTGTAAATTAGAAAGGATATAAACAGACAATTCAGAGAAAAAGGAACACTCTTGATCAATGAACACTGGAAACATCTCCACCCTGCCAGTAATCAGGGAGACACAAATTAAAAAGAAATAAATGGGTGGCTCAATCAGTTGAGCATCCATCCGACTCTTGGCTTCGGCTCAGGTCATGATCTCGTGGTTCGTGAGATCCAGCCCTGAATCAGGCTCTGCGATGATAATGTGGAGCCTGCTTGGGATTCTCAGTCTCTCAGTCTCTCTCTCTCTCTCTCTCTCTCTCGGGTTCTCAGTCTCTCAGTCTCTCTCTCTCTCTCTCTCTCTCTCTCTCTCTCTGTCTCTCTGCCCCTCCCCCCTTGCTTGCATGCATGCTCGCACATGCACTCTCCCTCTCTCTCAAAACAAACAAACAAACAAACATGAAAGAAAGAAAAAGCAAGCAAGCAAGCAAGAAGCCTATCCCACATAAGACTTAGCAAGGCTGTAGAAGACAGAACTCTCACACCCTGCTGTCAGGAGAGGAAACTGCTATAACCTGGGGAAACATGTGCCATGTTTGTGGTAGCACTTTTATCAGCCACCAAAATAAGGGAAACAAACTAAATGCCCATGTGTAAAAAAAAAAAAAGAGAGAGAAATAAAATATAGTGCATTTGTATAATGAATCAACTAGATCTACTTGTATCAACATGGATAAATCTTGAGAACATAATGCCAAGGGGTGGGGGTGGGTGAGAGCAAGTTCCAGAGGGACACATTTAGAATAAAGCCAGTTATGAAATTTTAAGGACATACAAAATAATATGTAGCTAAATATTTATGGACACATAAAAATTGTAGAGATACAAAACATAGATTAGAAGAATAAATACCAACTTCAAAATAGTTGTTTTTGCAAAGGATGAGGGATGGAAGAAGGGAAGGAGAGAGACGAGGAGAGAATGAAATCCAGGAGGGGTGCAAAAAAGTTGCCTCAACTATATCTATGAAATTTTCTTTTATTTCTTTTTTAATGAAATTGATCTGAAAAACAAAAGTCTTTGCATTCTGGGGCTAAATCCTACTTGGTCATGGTGAATGATTCTATTAATGTATTATTGAGTTCTGTTTGCTATTATTTTATTTATAGTCTTTCATCTAGTGCCTTGGTCTTCTGTTCCCCCCCCCCCCAATTCTTCAAGATTGGATTTCAGGGTTGTTCCATCCTCATAAAATGAATTAGGGAGTTTTCCATGCTTTTCTATAATCTGGAACCGTTAGTCAAGTATAGGAAAAAATCTGCTACTGGAAGATGGTGGGGGGGGGGAACACATTAGAAAAATCTCTGTTCAAGGAGGCTACTTTAGAGCTACCATTTAGTAACACTTTAACTTTTTAATTTTTGTATGATTATTCTGCTCTTCACACATTACTTTTGCACGAGCCAATTTCTATAGTTGAGAGTGCACAAAAATCAGCATTGTTGGGCTTTTTTTCGTTTCTTTACAAAGACTTGTGCATAGGAATATCTTGGGTTTTAATCTCCCATGTACCTTTTTGACTTCCTCATTTATAATTTTGTTTTGCTTTCCCTCCCTTTAGTCAATATGCCAGAGGTTTATCTGTACTATTGGTTTTCTTCCAAAGGCCACTTCTGGGATGTATTTGTTATAACTTGAACTTTTCTGTTTTCGAATCCATGGGTTTCTGCTTTGTTCTTGAAAAGATTTATTTTTCTTTACTTCCTGAAAATTTTTTTTGCTAATTTTCATACTTCTTGATTTTAAAGCTAACTTCATTCATTTTTATTTTCAACAATAAAAAGCAATTTAAGGGCTTTGGCTATATCCTGTAAGTTTTCATATGTATGAGTCACATTCTCATTATTCTCTAAGTACTCTTTGATTATATATTTTATTTTTCTTTTGACTCAATAATTACTTGGGAAATTGTTCTTTTTTCTTTATTTCCATATAGTAATAGCTGTTCAGTACAAATGTGAAAAACACAAAGTACAAGAGCAAGGCCATTGAAATGCCTACCACAGTGCCCAACACTCCATATATGAACGTTCACCAGACAGATGCACTGATCGTGATGCAACATAAAGCCTGGTAACTCTGAAAAATAATATCAACTCCCTAGTTATGTCCCAAAAGTCGAAATAATGATAACAATGCAATGAAAAGGAAAATAAGCAGAGTCCAAAGTCGTCTGCCCTTTAGCCCATCACGCAGTTTCAATATTAGGCTCCACATACTGTCTATAGATAACACTAACCCACAATAGGAGCCTCACACAGCCAAATGAAACCACTCAGACCTAATGAAGGCAAAGACCTCCTGACAACCAAGGCCTGACCTCATCCTCTCGCCATCTGCAAGATATCCTAGTTGCTGAAATGGGCGATGCCCACCCCCACATGCATCTAATGTGTCCATTCTTCAGATGGAAGGTCCAGCATAACCGAGGTCAATGGATGATACCACCTCCTTGCGGCACAGCATGGCAGCACCAATATCACAGTTAAGACTGGCCAACAGGCGCTTTTACCAGCTATCCCTGAAAGAGATCCTTGACAGGACGTGCAGATTCCCACCCCCCACACCTCAGTCACACCTACCCAGAGATTTAAGATGCCTCTTAAATCTCTTAAATGCCAAAGCCCACTTACTGTTAGAATTTGTTTCAGGGACATAGATAACACCTTGTCCTTTTTAAAACATATGTTAGACAATCTTTCTCTCAAACTACAATAGCAACATATACTCACATGAACCCCTCCCTTCAGAGTAACTAATGTCAGCTATTTGGTATGTATCTTTAGGGGTTCTTCCTGAGCTAACACAAACATGCATCCATAAAAAAATCACATGGGGCGCCTGGGTGGCTCAGTCGGTTAAGCATCCGACTTCGGCTCAGGTCATGATCTCGCGGTCCATGAGTTCGAGCCCCGCGTCGGGCTCTGTGCTGACAGTGCGGAGCCTGGAGCCTGCTTCGGATTCTGTGTCTCCCTTTCTGTCTGCCCCTCCCCTGCTCATGCCCTGCCTCTCTCTGTCTCAAAAATAAAATAAAAACATTAAAAAAAATTTTTTTTAAATCACTTGAATAGATTTTTTTTTCAAAAATGAGATCATCCTATACAAATTTGCTTTCTTTACATAACAAGACCTTATAGATAGGGGCACCTGGGTGGCTTAGTCGGTTAAGCATCTGAATACTGATTTCGGCTCGGGTCATGATGCGAGATCATGTGAACTGTGAGAGTTCGTGAGTCCAACCCTGTGTCAGGCTCTGCGCTGAGAGCCCAGAACCTGCTTGGGATTCTCTCTCTCTCTCTC